TGGCCCTGGTCTTGCACCATAGAATCAGACATTCTCTACAATTCTCCAAATAAAATTTCCCTTTTTTCCCAACTGCAAAAACTGCCAAGCAGCAACACTTGGAGAAGAAGGGAAATTGTCACAATTAAAACTTGGTGCCCCAGGACCTGATGTGGGAGTCTCTTATCCTAGAGACTTAATGATTCCTTTTTGGTGGAAAATCTCAAAAGCCTGTTAGGCAGAAACCTCACCACTGAGCAGATACTTAAGAAACTGTTTTATAAAAATCGAAGTGCAAAAGCATTTTTCTTGTGAAAATAGATCATCGGACAGGAAGCTTGTGCATAAAATCTTCAGAACATCCTGCGTGACTTAATGCCATATACGTAATAAAGCCAGAAATACAATGAATCTCTTTCCTTTCCACACTGAGGACCCAGGAACGATTTCTGTAGCTCATTAAGTATTAAAATTATAACAAATTATTATTTTCAATTGAAAGTGGTTGTGGGATTCATTATTTCCTCTCATGCCAAGACTCTGCAGTTTGCTCAGAACATGAATTTTCCAAAGCAGTCCAGAGTTTCTGAATAGTGTTGGACCAGGTTCACTGTCTTTGGCTCAGCACCATGGAGGGCTGAGTGGCTAAAGGTCCCCCTTACATAATTTACTGGGAACTTAATTGAGACTAATTCTTGTCTCTCATTCTGCCTGCCTGAAGAACATCTGCCCGGCAGCTGCTGTGACTACATTTGGTTGGGATGTTTGAATCTTTCTGTGAAGTGAAATAAAGGGCATGAATATTTTATTGTAGATTTATCCCACTGTAACTTTTTATAGGAAACTGCTGGTGGTTTTATTAGCCAGCAGTGTTAATGCATACTGTCTCTCCAGCAGGCTGGAGCTGAGGCTTAGCATGGACTCCAGGCTCAAACTCATAGCACTGCCTTAGTGAGGTTCACACCTACAGGAGGAGGTGGGAGGTGCAGCAGAGACCACCCACGGGGGTTGGAGGGATGCAGATTTTGGACTGTGCTGTGATGTGCATGCCAGACCGGTCCAACCACAAAGCGGTAGTAGTTGATAACAACTAGGCTGAATGTGATCAGTCACTGGCACATCCATGTGACCAAGAATGAATCGGAGCCATGTGTCCCATTTCACAGATGGAAAAGCTGAACTTAGGAGAGGTTTAGTAGCCAAGGTCAAAAAGGACTTAGGCAGGGAGCCTATCCTGGAGCTCTTCAGAGTCCGTAAATCATAGCAAGGCTGGGATGTCTCTCGGGGCAGCAATATTGCTCAGAACGTTTAGAGAGCCCTGCAAGTGCCAGAGGTGAAAGAGGCCATATCTGGGACCTACAGAGGAGCTCCTGGCAGAGTGGGTACTTGAGAGTGGCCAACTAAGGGGTGCCAGGCAAAGGGAACCACGCCAGGGTCTGCAGGCCAAGGAATATACTAGTCTGGGGAGGATCACATACAGCCAACCAGAGTGGCAGGGGTCAAGGCTCGCTCCCCTGATGTCTTCCTAATTCTTAATTTCCTTAGTCTGGAGTTTTATTTTTGTTTGCTTGCATATGTTCTGAAAATGTTATAATCCTTCTTGGAAAGATGGAGCATGGGTGAATGCATGAGTATATCATCAGACTGGCTCTTACGTGCCAGATCCACTGTATGAAAGGTAGTGGGCACTAGGGAGCCATTGAAGGTTTTGAAATGAGAAAGTTACATGACTGCAACTGTGGCTGAAGTACATGGATTACTTGGAAAAGAGAAGAGACCATATGTGGGGAGGCCAGTTAGAAACCTTGGCAGCACCATGGAGAGGTGGCCATGGGTGGGGCAGGGCACAGACTGAGATCCCTTGTGCGGGGTGGCGTGGTGGGACTTAGCAGAGAGCAGACCAAGCCGAGCATCAGCTCTTAACTCTGCGTGTCTGCTCTTCAGGAAGGACCTGGCCACTGGGCTTTGGGTGGGGAGAAGAGGAATGCATGTCCACCCCAAACCAAAGACGTAGTGGGACCCCTGTAGTGTTTTAGGCTGTCAGTCATACAAGCCGGGCCTCCCAGGGTAGAGAACAAGGGGTCCCCTGCACCCCAGAATCTGTGAGAGTCACGGCTTAGGTAAAGTCTGCCAGACAAAAGTGTTTTAATTGCTCCATGGATGGAAACGAGCCAGGACTGAGCCCCAAGGTGAGATGCGATGCCCTGTGCTTTAGAGAGCAGGGAGGAGCAAGACGAGGCAGAGAGGCAGACGGCAGGCCTCGAGCAGCCCTAGCAGCTGAGGAGCCAACGAGGAAGCGATAAGAGTGGTGGTCAGAGGTGTCACCTGTGCTGAGGGTTGCTGAGACATGTGATGTTCCTTTAGTCACTCAGTGAACACGTGAAGGGTGTGGACACTGCCCAACAATATCCTGTATCTCAGACACTAGCTGCCTGCCCACAGGGCTCGAGGCCGATGTCTGTCTCCCTTGGAAACTCCCTTCCAAGTTCACCATGGCTTTAACAAGCCAAAACCACCAAGGCCACCACCTCTGAGGCAGCAGCCTCTCTGGAGCATCAGAGATTGGAAATAAACTACCAGGGGGCCTGCTGCTGCCAAGGGGTCTTGCTGGCTCTCAGGACTCGGGGGGGGGGCCAAGCACCGAGGGCAGTTTGCAGTGAGAGATGGCTGCAGTGGGGCAGCAGTAGGCTGTGAATTCCCTTGCCCTGACAGCCATGTGCCAGCGTGCTGGCCGAGGCGGCTAGCTGCCGGGCTGTCCTGTTGGACCCCGGCCTCTGCCCCTCCAAGCATGGCAGCCTCAGGTAACCTGCCTTTGCTTCTCTTCTGTAAAACCCAGAGCGGCCTTGGTGGAGCCCGGAGAACTCCCCACAAGAACAGTTTCTGAGAGTGTGGAATTCTGAGCATGTTCATAGCCAAAGTGGGCCAGCGGCAGGGTGGGGTGCAGAGGCCTGCCTGCATGTTTCTGTGTTGAATAATTCTGTGGGGCTGGGCAGCAGGGACTGCTGCTGGTGTCCATCAGGCCTCCAGCGTTTCCTGTAGCTCCCTGCTCCATTCAGGACTTCGGGTTGGCTTCTGTTGGGTCCCATTCAGACAGCTGTCCTGGTAAAGCCCGGGCACATCGTTAATCTCATGCAGTGTTTTGTTGCTGTTGTTTCCCCCCTAATCTCAGGACAGAATGGTTGGGGATAAACTGCTAAAGGCAAGTGAGTGTACGCAGGTTATAGGGATGTGACAGTCAGGCCAGAAAAGCAATGGGGAGAGACAGTGACAAGCAGATGATGCCGTGTGCCCTGCAGGTGAAAGCTGGGGAAGGGAACTTCTGGCCATTTGGGTTAGGGGCCAAGGCTCCACGGCTGCTTTCTTGGGATGCTAAAGTGTAGAATTCTGACTGGAGGCTGCAGGGCCAAATTCCGCGGCAGACACGGCTTGGCCCACACCGGCGTCTTAGCATTTTCAGAGCTCATTTCCAACATCTTCAAAGCAGAGCACTGGGTTTTCAGCTCGGCTTTTAAAAATGAAAGAAGGGGCAGCACTTGGTCACAAAGGGCCAGAGCTGGCGGCAGGTCCTACCCTGGGCACCGGGTTCTCACTTGACGAGGGGGCCTCTCGTCCCCTACTGCCACTCCCTGAGGCCACAGCTGGTTCACACTGCTCTGTGGCTTCTGTAAGTGTTTTTGTACACTTAAAGGATGGATTTTCATGCACACAAGCTGAAATTGACCAGAAAGTGCTCCTTCTGCATGGCTTGACAGGTCTGCATGATGACCATGTTTACTCCTCATCTTCTGAGGAATGATACCTTACAGACACATGGAAAGTTATTTTTAGCCTCTCCCTAATCCCATCCTCTTTCTCCAGTTGGTGTATGGTTCAAATGTTAAATTGTCACTATATAAGTGTATGTCCCCAGATGGAAGAGCACCCTGTGGTATGCCATGGACAGTCTCTTGGCATATGTACATCTGTCTTTGCCTCAGGGACTCAGTCATGTGACCTTTATACCACTGGGGTGGCTTTTTCTTTGCTGTATACTATTTCCTTTTATGTCTTCATTCATTGTGCCAGTGACAGACATTATAGGTTGCTTTCCACTTAGGGTTTATACAGTTATGCCGTGAATATCCTTGTGTAGTTTCTTTGGCACATGTGCAAGGAATTGCATCCCTGGCAGTGGAATTACAGAGTAGTAGCTTATGTTAGACACCTGTCATACACGGTAGCCGAAACTGCTGCTTTTTGATGTGTGATAGAAAAACTCCGGTGAATTTCTGTTTTCCTTTTTCACAGTTTCAAAGATGGAAAATTCATTCCCACCAAAGCACTCAACAACCTCAGCACATGATTCTTCTTTATTTGAATTAAGAACTGTGACATTTTCACTTAAAAACAGCATTTTACAGTTTTCTTTGTCATATCCAGATTTTTATAACCATTGTTATAACTCTCATAAGTAAAATAAAGGTGACTTGAACACAGGCACTGTGACACCATAGTAGTCGACCTGACGACCCAGAGGGCTGCGAGGTGGCACACAGCCCAGTGGTACACGGGCCAGCAGTGCACACAGCTGAGCGTGATGCACAAGGGGTGACTTCCTGGCCCAGGAGGGACAGAGCGGGACAGTGCAAGGTCTCATCCCTTCTCAGAATGGAGTGCAATTTAAAATTTAGCAATTGTTTATTTCTGGAACTTTCCATTTAATGTTGCCAAACAATGATTAACCAGGAAAAAGCTTCAGGTAAGAAGCAACTGCCACAATATCCCACCATCCCACATGAGCACCCCCGTTTCCACAGTCACGTCCAGATCTGGTTTAGTGATGCTCTGTAGTGCTGCCGGTCAGGTGGGTGAGAAATGGTGCTCGATTGATGTTTAAATTCACTGCTCTCTACTGAGGTTTGAGTAGTTTCATATGTTCAGGAAATGTTTATATTTATACTTCACCTACTGTGATTCCTTCTGGTTTGGGGCCATTGTCCGACAGGGCTGTGTGTCCTTTCCTAATGGTTTTGTATATTCAGCCTTGCAGAGCAATGAAATGCACACGCATGCTGCCACCGAGGGACCGTGCTATGCTGAGTGAAATACGCCACTCACAAAGGAACGGACACTGTGCCGCTCCACTTCTGAGGGCCCTCGAGGAGTGATTGGCCGGGGCTTCATGGGGAGGGGAATACGTTGAATGGGTGAGCACAGGATCATTAACTAGCCTTTCACAGCGTACCTTTCTCTCTCTTCCTCCCTTCTCCACCCCTCTCCTTCCATCCTTTTCCTCCCTTCCTTCCACCCTCCTTTCCTTCTTTATTCTTTCCCTGGCAATAAGAGCCAGCTAATGGGTCCCAGGGCCTTTCAGGAAAACGGGCAGGGCTCAGATCCTGGGCAGTCCCCCGTGGTAAGCTTCCGGGTTGAATGGCCACACTCTAACCTAGCAAAAGGTTTTTCAATCAGAATTTGTAGTTGAAAGTCACTGCTTTTCGTGATCCACACTGTTAGCCCTACAAAAGAGAGTCCATGCATCGCTGGGAAGCAGAAATACCTACCTGCTTGCAGAAAAAGCTCTCATTCATTCACAGCCTTGTATGATACACTTCAGATTCTCACTTCCTCTTTTTCAAAAAGCAAATATGTGAATAACGCTACTTTTCAAGGAAATGGATAGGAGAACTCATAATTCACAGGTTTTAAGTGGCGACTTCACGGGCGCTGTAAAGAGGCCACGTTGGTTCCCCTGGGAAAACATCACAGCCCGCTGGTTAAGGCGCCTTCACACCTCCTCACTGTCCTCTTTGTAGACATCTGTCCAATAAAAGCAGCCACGAATCTTCAACGACTATAAATGGCACATGTGAAAGTTGTGTCCTGAGGTTCCCATCGCAAAGCTGCTGGCTCCGGCCTGCCAGGAGCTGGGATCCGGACTCAGCCTCCAGGGACCCTGGAATCTGACGCTGCCCACGATCTTTGGGGCATTGTGTGGGGAGGGCCGTGGCCCCTGCTTGGCTCCTCACTCTCAGTATTCTGGAGGACATGGCTGTAGGTGCCCTGGAACCCACAGTAAATACCCACAGTAAGGCAAATCCAAACCCAGCCAGTAGCAGCCCTGAGCTAGCGAGGGAGAGCAGAAGCTTACGTCCTTGGAGCCTATCCTGCCAGGCATGGCCCAGTCACTTTTCCTGCTGGGTGTTGCCATCTAGGCCTCACAAATGGGCACACAGCGCTGGCCACTCACATGCCAGAGGCACTCGAAGCTCGGAGGAGCAAAGTGATTTGCACCGAGTTGCATGCGTCACTCTTCAAGCAGAGGCCTGGAATCTGCCAGTGTGTACCCGCTGCAGACAGAACACCGTACAGGTGTCTCGTTTCTTTGCTTTGATTAAGTGAGCCGGTGTAGGTAACCTTCCCAGCCACATGAGACATGGGTAGAGTCAGTGCTGAATCCCACAGGTCAACCACTTCTTAGCTCAGGTTGTGACTGAAAGCTGTCAAAAATAAGTGACCACTCCATGTCCTCTTTTTTTGTTACCTGTATTTAATGTAAAAGAATTGTGTTTGAAGAATGTGACTTGGACAATGCCGTATTTCTTGGGACAGCAAAAGACACATCTGTGAGTAGGCTTCACCAGGCCTTTGTCTAGTTTAAATCTCAGCCAAATAGAGTTATGAATAAAAGCGGATATTGAATAGAAGCTGAGCCTTTTCGGAAGTGTGGATGAGGCAGGGTTGTAGTAGACAGCCTCAGAGCTCCCGAGGATGTCCGTGTACTGATCTTTGGGACCTGTGTACGTGCTGGGTTGCGGGGAATTGAGGTTAAAGGTGGACGTGAGGTCGTGTGCTGGGTTGAATTGGATCCTCTAAGGGAGGTGCATTAAATCCTAACTCCTAGAATCTCAGAATGCGATTGTATTCGGAAATAGAATTATTCCGATGTACTTAGTTGAGATCTTGCTGAAGTAGGGTAAGGCTCTAATATGTCCGGTGTCCATATATATAAAAACACAGTGGTGGAAGGACACCAACACACAGGGAGGACGTGTTGGGAAGTTGAAGGCAGAGACTGGAGTGACAGTTCTGCAAACCAAGAGCACAGAGGATTGCTAGCCATTTCCTGTGCCTAAGTAAGGAGTACCAAAAACCTCCTCCATCAGAGCCCTAAGGAATCAACCCTCATGATATGTGGATTCGGGGCTTCTGGCCCCCCAAACTGTGAAATAGTAAGTTTCTGTTGTTTATGCCCCCCTGGCTTGTATTTTTTTTCAACTGTCCTAGCCAACACACACAGGTGGCCTCAGCTGGCAGAGAACTAATCCTCGGTTGTGTACCTGGATCCAGTGTGATCAAACAGGAGCTTGAAAGTTAGGGAGGAAGACAGGAGAGAAGGTGGCGTGCCTGGCTCCCTGACACTCCTGGCTCTGGAGGTGGAGGAAAGGGCCTGAATCAAGGGTTGGGGTAGCATCTAAAACCTGGAAAAGACAGCATGGAACAGGCTCTTCCCAAGCAACTTCCAGGCATAACCAGCCCTCTCAATACACTGATTTTAGACAAGCAAAGCCTCTGTCGCATTTCCAGTCTCCAGGACTGTAAAACAATAAATTGATCATGCTTGAGGCCATTGGGTTTGTTATACCAGCAAAACAGAAAAGGATACAGGGTGTCACACACAGTCACCGAACAACCCAGAGTACGTCATTAGAACATTAGAATGTCATAGCTTGTACAAATTGAGCATTGCTACTCTGAAAATCTGAAATTTCAACCCCAAATCCAAAATATGTTAGTGCCATCCTGAGGTCATGAGTGAAAAAAAATTCCACCCCGACTTCCTGTGATGGGTCACAATCAAAATATAGGCACACTCAAAATGGTATATAAAATTACATTTAGGCTATGCAAATATGGTATATACAAAACATAAGTGACTATCATGTTTAGGCTTGGTCCCGTCCCCTAGATATCTCATTAAGTGTGTGCAAATATTCCAAAGTCCCCAAAAATCTAAACTGAAATGCTTCTGGTCCCAGCATGCAGATAAGAACTGTTTGACCTGTCTGTGCACAGAAACAGTCTCTATGGATAGAGGAGTGGATTCCAAGCTGACCTCTTCACAGGAGGAGGAAAAGGGTGATCTGAGTTAGAGAAGTGTTAACTGCCTTCTAAAGAATTACAATTTTGCCGGGGGTTAGCTCAGTGGCATAAGTGTCTGCCTGGTAAGCGCTAGGTCATGAGTTCCATTCCCCAGTACAAAAGAAAAAAAGAAAGAATTATAGTTTTACAGCTCCTAAGAAGAGCTGCTAAATCAAACTTGGTTAATAAATGTAGCCATAAAGTTCTTTTAGGGGACACAAGTGAAAAAAGGCAAGACTTACAGTGTCATTGCAGCATAGATTGCTTTATGGAACTGCAGTACCTTCCCCAAGTTACAGGATGGATTTACAAGGAAAGAGATTGGACCGTGATGCTCAGTTGGAGAACAGTGCACAAATGTGAGTGTGACTCCTGTAGCATAGCTGTTCTGGTGAGATGGTTTCGTTCAGCCAGCAGAGATAGCTTTTGAATGCTACCTTTCCCCCACACCTCTTTGAGGTATCTATTGAGAACAAGAACTGGAATATAGTGAATCAGACTGCAGATATTTATGCGTGAAGCTGAGAGACCCTTCTGTCAATGGCTCATTTCCCATCTCTGGGGAAAGCACATTATCAGCAAAGCAGGAAACTGATCTTTTCTATTCTGTCATGTTTGGCTGCCTGGCGCACTGGAAATGCTCCGTTTCTCTGGCCTTCCCCTACGATTCCCTTCTAGCCACCACCTGTTTCTTTTTCATTTTGATAAAACTAAAATGACAAGATTCCACAGCTTAACCATTTTTAAAATTTGCTTGGTTAGACAGATCGCATTCATCATAGGGAATTTGTACCTGTACATTACGTATCTTGCTTCCTTTTTTCCCATTCCCCGCTCCTCCCTTCACCCCTCTTCCCTTCCTTATTTATAAAAGCTCTGTTTCCATTTTTCCTTCTATTCTCTTTTCTTCTCCCTTCCTCCCCTTTCCCATTCCTCCCTCTATTGTTCACCTTTGCATTTGAACATTTTTTCCCATTTCCCAATTATCTATTATGCATGTAGGCCTTTACTTGTATTTTCAATTTCTTATGAATTTTTCCAGGTGTTCTTTGCTGTGGAAGTATCTTATTTCTCCATCAATTTTGAAAGACAGTTTTGGGGGATACACTAGTATAGGCTTGAGTTTTTCTTCACTCCAATTTCTCTTTGATTTGAGGGTTTGATTGAGATGTCTACCATAGTTCTGATGGGCTTTCATCTGTAAGTAATGTTTTTCTGTTCTCTAACTTTTAATATTATGTTCTTGTATCGATTCTGGAATCTTGAGTATTATATGCCTTGGTGTCTTGGACACTTTTGTGGCTGAGACAAAATACCTGATGCCCAAAATAAAGGAAGGAAAGATGAGTTTATTCACAGTTTGTGGAGGTTTCAGTGCATGATCAGCTGGCTTCAAGCAGAGTGGCGTGGCAGAGGAGCAACAGTTCATTGCTGTGGAAAACAGCAAAAGCAACGAGAGCAAAAAGGAGGAGTGAGGGATCAAGCCTCTCTCCCTCTCCTACACTGTATGCAGGCTACCTGCCCCGGGGCAGGTGTGGCACTCACACCTCTAATCCCCGTATTGGACCATGAATCAGTCACAAAGTAGAAACCTGCCTCCATGCCTGCATGAGGCTTTGGGGGGACATCGAGACACAAACCATAGCACTTAGTATAGAATTGTTTTTTTTATTATGGGTGATTAGAGTTCTATATACCTCACTTATTGTATGTCCAATTCTTTTTCCATGCTTTGAAAGTTTTCTGTCAGTACTACTGTGAACAAATTTTTTAATGTTGTTTGTGCTGTCTGTCTTCTGCTTTTTTGTTGGCTCTGATCAATCTCACATTATGTTTTGTATCATCTAGCAGCTGTTGGATTGATTTTTCATGGTCACTTGCTGATTTTAGGACATCTTTCTTCTCATGATTGCTAACTGCAGTCCTGTTTTCTGTCTGATATTCTCTCCTCATATTGGCTCATTCTAATACATACACTTTGAATGGACTTTTTAATCTGGTATCTGTTAATCTGTTTCAGGGATTCTATTCCTTTCCTATGTTGAGTATTCATAGTTTCCCTTGTTTTCCTAAACTCCTCTATTTTTTTTTTATCTGAATCTGCTCTAGAGTCAGTAACCATGTCCTTCATTATGGTTACCATCTGTGGTTTTTTGAGAAATTATTTCTGATTTGATTTTTTTTCTAGAGCCTAGTTCATCTGCTTTGTTACTGCCTCTCTTACCCTCCAGAGAGTTCAGGTGGTGGCCTCTGTATTGTTCCACCTCATTTCCCCCTAGGTTTGCCTTTAGTGAGCTGGAAGTCTTCAGTTACATCTTGCTTCCATGTCTTCTCATTTTCTTTCTCTCTTATTTTTTAAGTTTACTTTCTGGATTGATCCTTGTAAGCTGTTTATGATAAGTAGAGTTATTGCTGCTGTTGAGGACACTTAGGAAATGGCTATGTCTTATAGATGTCTTCCAGGTGTGACTGGCTTTTTGATTTTGAATCTGTTTCAAAATCCTGCCTCTTCGGTTTATTGGGGATGAGAAATTGTTACCTGTCCGGACTCACCCCTGGTTCTTTGGCACTAGCCTAGGGTATCACTTATTACCCTTAGGCAATCTCCATCTTGGCATACTGATGCCAAGAACCAGTGATGACTGCACTGATGTCACCTTACAGTAGTACAATCAGTGATGACAATAGCATCAAACACAGCCTAGAAAATGACAGACTGTCGTAACTATTAATTGGCCACCTTTAACCATATAAACTATATTTGTGGTTATATAACAAAATCTAAAACAAACCAAAAAATGTGTACAGTAAGTATGCCCACAGGAGAGAAAATTTAAAAGAGGTTAATGGGGGAAATATAGAGACAGAAGAACATGAAGAGATTAGATGCAAGATGGAGGAAAAGAGAAAATTATGTGAATTTTGCAAAATTAATGAGACGGGGGAAAAGAGGGAAAAAATAAGAACAACAACAAAAAAAGTAGAAATAATGTTCACACTCATATAAGAACAAGAACAAACAAATAAAATTATCCACATCAGGGTATATCTCTGCTGTCACTGGTAGACAGAGTAGGCAAACAGACCCCAGATCCATGTTGATTAATCCCAGCAAGCCAGCCGTAGATTTACAGCAAGGTAGTGGATAATCCCCACAAGCCTGCAACTTTAGTTTCACTGAAGTTCAGGATGGTTTCTGACTGTGAGGCTGGAACCCAATTTGTTTGGCCTGCAGCACCCCATATGCCTGCTGCCAGCTTAAACTGGGCTGTCTGCCTGCTGAACTTGGCTCCTCGACCTCCTTTTGACTTTCATTCGGTACCACCTTACCGTGACGCTGGAGCCACTAGATGAAGCCAAACCACAACTACTCTGAGTGCTGAGCTCAGTTGGCCGCTCTCCAATATGGCGGCCAGACAATTGTCCTCTCCTGGGGGACATCTGAACCTGAATAATTCATCAGCCACTGCACTCTGCCGCATCCTTTGCCCTCCCTGTTCCATCGATGCGTGTCTCCATGGAGGCCTCTGGGGTCATCAGTCATCACTATGCCTCTGCAGGTTTGAGCTCTGGGAGGCTGTTTCCCTGCTGTTCACCACTGCACCATCTTCCCACAAGTCTCTTGACCATTTTTAAGTGTGTGCATATTGCAGTATAAACTCTGCACATTGCTGTCTGCCCATCAGCACCATCCATCTGCGGAACGTTTTCATCTCCCCACACTGAACTCTGACCTCATTAAACAGAACCCCGCCCCCGCCTCAACCACAGCTCTTGAAAGCCACCATTCTGCTCTGTGTCTCTGAAATTGAGTAGTCTAGGTACCTCGGATAGAATTACAGAGCATCTGTCCTCTTGTGACCAGGTTATTTCAACGAGCATAATGTCTTCAGATTTGCTAGGCTGTAACCTGTGCCAACTTTTCCTTCCTTTCATTTTCCTCCTGGACTCTCTTTCCCTGCCAATAAGGCATCTAAAGTTATCAGTGGAGCAGAAAGCATAGGAAACATCCAGGTGGGGACTGCAGAACCTCACTCAGCTCTTTCCCTATCTCTTGTGTCCTATATGTGATCTTGTTTAAGCCACAGCCGCCGCCCACATTCATTAGAGCACAAGCCTGGTCACATGCCTGTGAAGGGGGTGCATGCCATGCCGTGCATCCCCAGGGATGGTGATGCTCCCATAAGGAGGACAGGAAGGGACAAAATCAAGTACACAGCTATTTTCACACGAGGGATCCGCATAATAGCACCCAGGAAGTCTCACCCCAAACCCTGACTTTGTATGCACAAAGTCAGCTGCAGAACTGCAGGACAAAGATCGGACTAGGAGTTAGTCCATGCAATGCAAAAAGAGTAAGAAAGTGAGGAGATAAAGCTTAATAGAGGATCAATTGGCTATTTTAAAAACCTAAAAAGAGGACAAACTTGGGCAGCATTGATGAAGACGGCATCTCTATTTTTAAGAAGGTGATCATGTTCAATCCTGCTTTCAGACCTGTACCTGGACCTTTCTGTCCATTTTAAGAACAGTAGTGACTGATTAGAAAACTATAGTCAGGATGGCAGGGATCAAGAATTTATGCCTTTCAAAGATAAGAACAAGGGAAAACACTTAGATTTCAGTCCAGTTTATTTTTGAGTGTTGTTTGAGCAGCCAGAAGACTCTGGGATAAGAACCTGGCTCAGCGCCCTGGGAGTTCACCATCACTTCCCAAGGGACAGTGGCAGCAATCATAGCCAACAGCACGAGGGCCTGTGCGTGCCAGGTACTGGGACTTATAGGCAGTAATCACCCCAGGGTGGGTACTGTTGTCTTTGTCCCCTTCCCCCCCCACATTAAGTGGTGGATCCAAGGAGCCGAGCTCTGCTAACTGGAAGAGGTGAGTAAGAGCCGGATGCTACTACTTAGTGCCAACTGGAAGGACTCACTGGATATTTCTAAACTGTGGAGTGACATGGCATGATCAGAGTTCATTTTAAGGAGAATTCAGGGTTATTTTAATTAATGAGGAAGGGTGACGTGTCCGCCCAAGATTTGCATCCATCGGTAGATCTGTTTTGACAAACAGTGAGCACTTGGGATCTACGAGTGTAGGTTAAGCTTACCAGCTCACCCAAGGGCCAAATAGGAGAGATTTCTTATCCCTAAAGGAACATTGTGAGCCCTTCTTTACCTGAGGAATCAAGATTCCCATACCGCTTTCCAGCACCCTGCCACTGGTAGACCCCAGATCATGAAAGCATTGGGCAGGTGGGTGAAGATTTAGAGGAGCACTTCCAAATGTCAACTTCTTCCGTCTCTGTCTTTCGACGACCCACAAGGTACCAGTCTCAAGAGTTACCATCTCCACTCTGGAGGGGCCACTGTCTCTGGAAGGCAGGAAGCCCTGGTCCTTTGTCAAAGGTTGCATTAGTCAGCTTGTGCTCCAGTACAAAGAGCTCCCTCTTGCAGTGCCCTATAAAAGTGTCATGGTTCCATGGCAGAAAGCAGGAAACAGAATCAAGCCAAAGTTCATCGCCACATCCAAAAATCCTGCCTAGTACTTGGCCAGCAGCATGTCCCCTCACATACCATTGAACAGAGCACACCCCGTGGAACCATGGGACATAGCACCACCCACTCTGTGGAGCCAGGGACTTAACTCAGCGGTGTAAGCATCTGCCTGGCAAGTGCTACGTCATGAGTTCAATCCCTAGTACCAAAACCCTAAACAACAACAACAACAAAAAACCATTCCACGTAACCCACCCTATAACAGGGTGATGTGCACAGAGGGCTTTCTGTACCGAGAAGATGATCTTAGACTAGGTGAACATTCAGGTGCCTCGGTTCCATACTGTGGAATTATTTCAAGACCCTTCAGGAAGGCACTGCTAGGTTGGGAGGCTGGCCTTTCCTCCCGTTTTCTCACTGTCTTTTCTCTCTTCTGGCAGGTGGGTGGCAGGCCCGTGGAGCCCCTGCTCAGCAACCTGTGAGAAGGGCATCCAGCATCGGGAGGTGACCTGCATGTACCAGTTACAAAATGGCACGCATGTTGCTACACGCCCCCTCTACTGCCCAGATCCCCGACCCACACCAGTGCAGAGCTGCGAAGGCCAAGACTGCCTCTCCATCTGGGAGGCATCCGAGTGGTCACAGGTAGGTCCCTCCTAACCTTGTGCAAGGGGACTTCAAAATGATCCCTTCAGCTTCTCAGTGTCTGATGTGCCCCCATCATCCCTGCATGAGCTCGGAGTTTTGTTCTAGCCCATATTTGCTTAAATCCCATCTAAGACAGGCATGTGCACATGCACACACACATGCACACACACGCACACAAACACACACACACTTAGTTTTGATGGTGTGTATATTGACACCACAGTGAAAATACTTTCTGTTCTATTTCCTATGAAAATTCTCACATGAAGTTAGATGCTGATTTGCTTTTCAGTCTCCTGTGAGCGTATCTGGGCTGCAGGGTGGTCGAGTTGGGAAAGTCGGATTCTAGGACTTTATTTTAAAGCACAGCAGTCTTTGTACATTGCAAGAATCAGATGTTGGAAGGGACAGCCAGCCAGAGTTGCAAATCTCACGCCATAAAATGTTTTGGAAAGATGTCAATTAAGCCTGAAGTTTCACCTCTGAAGGCTAGTCCTGAAAACAGCATTTAATCCTGGCGGATGTCATCCCTGGTGGCTTTGTATTGACTTTACCATCATAATCTTGGCTATAAAGCAAACAGCAAGTCAGTAAATAAATGGCAGGCTTCCCTCAGGTCTTCCACCAAGTGGTCTAGGAAACTCACGGATCCAAGACACTCTTCAGTGTGGAAAATATTTTTAAAGTTCCCTTTGATTGCCAGAGTCAGAATTATTTTCAATCAGAAAGTTCGGCCCATTTTTAATGAACGAGATTTGTGCCATTGGCTGCTCTAATACTCAAGTTTAGTTTTCAGAAAAACCTTGAAATGTATCCATTTAAAAATCTGGGTCCTTAACCTCTTACATATTTTAGGAAGAGATGAGAACTAAAATGTTGATTTTTTTTTCTTTATACATACTTAGGTTTGCAAGTTTAACATGCAGGGAACTTTTCTTTTATTCTTGAGCAGAGGCAGGGCTACAGGCGCATTTACTCTCCTGCTCTGCACGTGAGTCTTGGGATCCTGATCACCTGGCTCATGACCCAAACAAGACAAAACCATAAATATTCTACCCATACTCATGGGGGGAGAGGATGCCTCTTCACAAAAAGAATCAAGCTTGAAATTATCAGTTATTAAAGCATTGAAGATCACCATATTTGGAATTATGGAGCAATAGTTAAAGGAATTTTTCTGGACTGTGTTCACTTGGTGCCAGTTTTGAAGTGGCATCTCACTTCCACTCATCCTGGCCCAGCCCCACCAGCTCAGCAAAACGCTGCTTTCTTAACATTCATTAAATCATTCCCCACGCGTTGCTCACAAAGCTGGCATTTCTGTCCTTCACCATGTGCTGAAGCCTTACCAGTGACTTCCGCTGGAAGCTGGGTCTCATTCTCTCCCAGGAGGGTTTTTACCCATGTGGTGGCTCTTATCCAGCAATCCACACCTGTCTCCTCACTACCACCCCAACCTTTATTAGAAGGGGGAGCAAATAGGTGGAGGAGAGGAAGATGTGTAGCTTAGTGTCACAGTCCTGGGCCTTGTGGGCCCACCCCTGATGGGAAGCAAGAGGAGAAACAGCGCGGCCCGTCCAGGGCCCTCCAGGCAGCATCGCCCGCAGCTGTGTCAGGTTCCGTGCATCCTCTGCCCCTGCTGTCTCTGCGCCCGTCATCTTTGTCCCCTGTCTCCCTGCCGCTCAAGGGCACAGCTGCCTTAACACCTGAGGGGCTGCACACCATCTGTCACCCCCTAGGCCCTGCCTGTGTGACCTCCACACACCGCACGTTCCTCTGTTTCCCTAGTCCTGGCATCCACACCAAGACGTTCACAGATGCCGTCTGTGAGCAGTGCCCACCTGCCTGACGAGAAAGTCACTTGTGGCTTTTTTCTCCTTCCTTCTTGTCCCTGAATCAGGGTCTTTGTCATGTGCACCTGCCATCTGGCCTCAGACCTCACCCACCATGCTCCAGCTGACCCCTTTCTCCCAGGTCCTCACTTGCTCTTTGAATTTTTTCTTTTGGATCTGATGCCTGGTGACAAAAGTCCACACTCCTAGATCAAACTTCTGGGCACCCCAATTTCCTCTGAGTTCTGACACCTGTGACTCCCATCACCAGCCATCTGGGTGGGGGCTCAGCCAGGACTATGCATAAGACTCTGAAGACCCTGAGCATTGTGGGGACAAAAGCTTAGCATCCTCCTTGCAGACCCCCTAGGTTGAGTACATCTTAGTTGATGGTGGACTTGGAAAGAACTGGACTGGATTAAACACCTGCGTGGTGTCTTTGCAGTGCTCTGCCAACTGTGGTAAAGGGACCCAGAAGCGGACAGTGACGTGTACCAACTCCCAAGGGAAATGCGATGCGTCTACAAGACCAAAAGACGAGGAGCCCTGTGAAGACTACTCAGGCTGCTACGAGTGGAAGACAGGAGATTGGTCTAAGGTAAGAACAGTGTGCCACGCTCTTCCAGGTGGTCCCAACCTAGCCAGGCAAATCCCTTTTCCAGTACAGACCTGCTGGTGACCCTACTGTGTCCCGCCTGCCCCCCAGCTGTAGAAGCACTGCCTCTTGGAGCTGCTGGGAGCATGCTCCTGCTTTGTGTGTATTCTTCAGAAACCCGAATGCAGTCTGCAGCATGGAGCTGGTGCTCTGTGCCACTCTGGCAACACACGCAGCAGTGCCACAGCATCTTGCTATCAGCCTGGCTTCTTAGCCATCTGTCCCAAGGACCTTGTGAATATACGGAAGCCTGGGCCAAGGCAGACAAATATGGGGCCCTGGCGCAAAACTCACTGCATTCATTCCCAAGATGCTTGGGCAAAGGCCTGGAGGATGCAGGAAATGTCACAGGGCTGCAGGCTCAGTGCCATCAGGGCAAGGAGTTCTACAGTAAGGAATGTGTTTCAGAGTGAAGAAATTCTTTGCTCTGTAGCCATTCTTTTATTTATTTTCCTGATACCTTTGAATGACTTCTATTTACTGCAGACTAAGAGCAGCATAAAAGTCTCATTGCAAAAACCATTCAAGGTCCAATAAAGCAGGGAAGTATGTTTACGTTTCCTTATGGTCTTAGCAACTGGAAATCTCTCCTAATCTCTCTTGCCCAAGGCTTGCCAGTCAGTAACTTGAGGGCCCCTGATGTTTGCTTGGCTTGCACAATAATCTTAAACATTATGGAAGTAACTGCCAACATGTAAAGACAGAAAGTTTTGCACCCCAAATTTGGAATTGGGCTTAACTGTGAGAATGTGGCAACACAGCCCAGGTGGTGTTTTGGTTTCTGCCTTCACTTCATGGAAGGAAGAATGATTTGTCCATGGGAAAGCAACTCCCCATCATCTAGAGCTGGCAAAGCAAAGCAAAGACATCCACTCATTGCTAATGGCATGATGGGATTTGCCCCATGGGAAATCCGTTACTCCAGAGGGATCGTAGCGGATGGTGTTTGAAGGGAACCTCAGCTTTCTGTGTGCACAGTGTGGTGTGCCCCTGACCTCCGGCCATGCTGGAAGCCATGGAAGAGGCTGTCCCTCTCCAGCCAAACCTGTTCTCTATCTTGGATGTGGGGGTTACAGCACCCCCAGTGGCCATCAGATGATGCAATCTGCATACAAAGAGCCCTTTGAGGATGGCAGGGAGAGCCATCTCAGCTCGTGTTTATGCAGACGTCACCTCCACGCGCTCCCTAGACACTTGGCTGTCAGGTGCTTCCTTGCATCCTCAGTAGGAGATGAGTCCCATGACATAGCCACACTGACTTTGTGTCTCCCGAGGGCGACCGAGAGAACCTCGCTCCTCAGGCTCAGGGCTGCTTCCCGAGCCTGTGCTTGCCTTGGTGGGACCTGGCTGTGCAGCTGGGGTCCCAATGGCTGCAGGCCTGTGGCTAGATCAATCTTTGTGGCTCGACAATCTCAACAAGCATTTTCAGATCCATTGTCCAGCCATACAGGACCATGTGCTGGGCTCTGGCGGGCCCTCAGAGTTGGAGAGGTGATAGTATCCACCCTAGATGAGGGCTGTGCTGTACCCCTGCAGTGTGAAGTCAGTGCCGGGGATCCCAGGGGCCCCCACCAGGGGAGGATGGAGCTTCCTTTCTGGGGGAATCACATTGGCCTGTGGCAGCCACCACTGCCTTAGCACCTAAAAGCACTTTCACTCATGTGATCTTGGTCCTCACAACCATCTGTCCCCATCTTAGATAAAAGGAAACCAACACTCAGTGGTTTTTCCCCAAATCATACAGCTAAGAAGTGGCAGGGATGAGCCTCGTCCCTGCCTTTGTCCCATAATGCATCTTTCTCTCCATACACCATAATCCCAGAGGTTTAGATTCCTAATTGGAAACAAGGAACTAAGCTAAAAGATAATTTCCTCTCTTTCAAGGCACATGCTTGTTAAAATCAAGCATCCTCCTGGTATCCACTCCACTACTCCCATCAAGGTCTGCTTCCCCGATAGGCTTAGTATCCATCATTTACACTTTAGTATAAACCTGTTATCACTATATGAAATCTTACACATGCATTGTCTCCCCTCAACTGTGAAATTAAAAGTTGAGTCCTCATGAAAGGAAACATGAGACCACAAATAAATGTGAGTGACATCAGGAATACTAGGACCCTCTCTGGGCACAGGAGAAGCCCTTTCATTGTGACAGGGATAGCCAGATCTTACACTGGGTGGACAGGGCAGGAGGTAAGGGACAGACAGCGCTTGGCATGAAATGTTTTCTGTGATCAGCAGAGTCTGTCACTGGGCTGCCAAGTTAGAGGAATGTCCAAAGCCCAGCACCTGCC